TCGACAACTTTCATCGAGTCTATAGATTTTCTTCAAACGAATCTGTTCTATGTAAAGCTGTATATGCGATTATGACATGGGTATCTCCTTCGTTTATCCTCCAAGTATCCTGGTCAGGTAGGCAACTTACACAGGAATTTATCGCCCATTATTTCCTCCAACGCTAACAATCCAATGCAAGGGCGTTTGTTCACAGTGACCAAGACAGCCAAGGCCTTTTCGCTGTGTTCGGCGCCTTCAACTTATTCAAGCAGTATCCGTTGTAATTGCTCCTCCTCCGGCCGTCGCATTCGCACCGGCACCCGATGCCGCCTTCGATTGGTGGCGAGAATGTTTCGTTGCCAAGCCTTTGAGAGCCTTCTAGTTGCCCTCCAGGGGCATTCGCGGGACATTGGAAGACGTCGTCATGTCTGTACCCAAAGTCTTCAAAGTGGTGAACCTGGCTGGGGTCAAGGAGCATGCCCACAGCCAGTGAATGTACAGCGGCATCTCCCCACTAAATGCAACAACAAATCCCTGTTAGCGATCTTGTGCAACCCGAAAGTCGCCAAGGCAGCGGCGTAGGGGAGGTATTCCGGGAAGCGGCTCGGCAGTCTTGAAAAGGAAGTGACTTCTTCTTTCCCAATTCACCCCGGCCGGCTTCTTCCTTCTTACACTCCCCAACACCATCATGTACCTTGACGTATTCTTCAATGTACAGCTATCGACTCACCCTTTCGAAATAGAAGCCGCCCGTGCTTTCGAGCACCCTGAAGAATGACTGGTATTGTCTGCCCCTGAAGAAGTCGAGGTCTGCAATCTCGAAATTACTCCAGTAGTGGCAGCCGCTCCAGGCGTCGCCGAATCGATCGCGATGCGGTAGAAAGCTCATCAACGATCTCAGTGGATACGGCAACCAGGACGGCTCCATCATCGCCGTCCAAAGCGACGATGACGCGATGTCGAAGGCCTCCTTGAACTCGGCCGTGTGTCGGAACAGCGACGGGACCGTGGCCCATTCCTCCCAGAGAGACAATGTGAAGCCGTACACCTTCTTGCGCCGGGCCATTTCGACGAACGGATCGTATGTTATCGAGCAGTAGAAATCGACGTCCGGTTCGAGTCGCCAGTACCACTTGTACTTTTGGAGTACTTCGAGGTGGTAGAATTTCCTGCGTTGCTTTCGGTGAGTCTCTGTTCTCAAGTACACGGTACCTGCCCAGCCTTTCTTACTCACCCTGAATAGAACCGGCACATGTGGTGGTAGCCTTCTTGCCCAGCATGTATCGTTCCACGTGCTCCCTGCTTGGCGATGCTCTCCTTTGCTGCTGTTTGGTTGAGCCACGTCGGAAACGTCCAATCCTCCCGTTGTATTGTCTCGAATGTCACATCTCCGCTGGATGTACTCCCCAGCACCTCCATGAACCTGTCGTCGAACGGCTCGTCGTTGAGGAACACGATTGGGTAATGGAACCATCGATTGAAGTGCCTCTCGAAAGATGCGACGGTATGGTTTGCGGCTTCGAGCTCCGAGTTTCTCGCCAGCATGACAATTACTCCGTTCTCGCGGTTGCCAGTCACGTCTGGCTCACGACACGACGTGTAGAACGGCTCATCTTGCTCTTCGACCGGCACTGGTACCCTGAATCTGCTACAGTGGTACGCAGACTCGAGCAGCCCAATGGCAAGGAGTACCCAGACCCAGATGGGCAGACGGAAGGACGTCGGTCGTCGTCGCGGACTCACGTATCGGCGAATCATGGCCTGCACAATGCGATCTTGGAAGGACTTGCTACTTCCTCTCCGGCTTTGTTGATTGTTGCATGAACTTCCTATTTCCTATTCGGCTCACAAGCAAGGAGAATCTCAGGTCAAGAGGAATGCTAAGCTCCCTAGGCACCCCAAGCGCTACCTCTGGAACAGATCCAAGACACACGGGTAAACTACGACCCAGTTGGCGCGCGCGGAATGTTTGGCTGCGAACGCGATTGACCGCGACCGCAGTCGCAAGCCCGTCTGTACATAGACACATGGCGTAGCTGACGCCAGCTTGACTCGAAGAAGCCCGAGCTGACGCACGCCAGACGCATACTGACACCAGCCAGGAAATTGAACCTGTGCTGGCGCTGTCTGGACCACGGGAGTTACGAAGAGAGGGAGAAAGCGGGAGGATCCCCCCTGGCTAGCCTGAAGATCGTCTGCAAGCCATCAGTCAAAAGATGGGACGGCATTGGCTCATCCCTTTCCAGTCTGCCCAGTGCTCGAGCTAGCTGCAGGATATCTGCCCCCCGCACGGGTAACCACGTACCCAACGCGGGACGGACAGTTAATGAGCCGCCATGAGAAAAGGAGACCTCTTGTCTACTATTGCTCGCAATTTCTTTTCCGCATCCGTGGAAGCATTGAGGCTGAGAGTTGTCTCGTCCAAGGCCAGTTCCGCTGGAAGGCTAGAGATGGCCAAAAGGAGCTCTGGTCACCACCCATCAATCCAGACTCGTTGCCAATCGCAACCTCATGTTCTACGATTGAGGATGTTCCTGGGCCGTCGGAATGGCCTTGAGATCTTCAGATCGCTGCACCATCATGCAGATCCCTTCGACTTCAGCCTTTCTTCAGCTTCCCCCACGGCTTGACAATTCACTGTGCTCAGGCTCGGCAACACCAGAAGATACTCCTTTCAACGTCAGTATTTGACCTGTTCGCCTGGATCTTTCCTGTCAGCCACGGGCTTGCAGTAACTTGCCAGCTTGCATGACACGTGTAATACGAGTCCCTCGCAATCGTCATGAGGCATTCCCGTCCCAGAGACCTCAAGGATGCAGTACGCCACACAGGGCCATGCGTCTGTGATAAGCCTCAAAATCAGCCCCAAGGAACACGCTTTTGGACCTTCGCCTTGGAGGATCACAATACTTTTGTGGTGATAGCGTACGGCATATAGGAGAATGGCTGAGGCAGGGTGAGGCTATGCAGCATCCACAGATCGCAGCACGTGTCCAGCGGCGGAGAAGACCACAAGCGGGAGCTTCTAAACTACAATCGCCACAAGAAAAGGCATCGGTTTCGATGATTGCGCCTGGCGACCCTCCCAGAAATCCCATACGATGAGGGAGCTCCTCAGCCGTGAACACGGGAGGCCCTGGAAAAAGACTGGTCGAGAACTCAGGCAGGGGCGCATGGTTCATCAGAGCAGGCCTGGCCCCGGGGCTGGTGTGGAAAAGCATCGCGATTGGCTACCATCGGGCCGCCAGACTCTGTAAAGCGAGGGAACTGCTGTCTATCGCCGTTTGCGGACAGAATGACGTGGGTTTGGCAACAACTCCAAAGGGGCCCGTCAGGTCATGAACTACGCTCGATACCCAATCCGATTACACAGAGATTTCAAACGGCTATTCCGACCTTCAACGGCCTATTACTTCCATCTCTCCGGTCCCCTACGAATTTCAGATGCGAAGGCGAGATCCTAAGTCAGGTTGCGAGGCCCTGAAGCAGAATCACGATTCATCCCCGTGTCTCGGATTTGGCGCCAGATCTGTGAGAGCTGGGACTCGGTTAGAGCGGCCTGTCTAGACAAAGACTGTCCCTGGTAGCATCCATCATGATGTCCGTCATCGACCAATTCTGTGCGGCGATTCGGCGGGGAAAGGCGAAGCTTCCCTTTCGAGGTGGCCGACCTCATGTTCCACTCTCCCGGGAAGCACCCCGCTCGACCCAAGCTGACGGGTCGACAAGGGCAATGTCTCAGAGCTCATCGAGGAGGCATTCAAGCAGATTTTGGGTGTCTTCACCCATCCAAGTTTGCAGCATTGTTCGTTCGTTACGTGAGTGCAAAGGGGGCGTGAGCCATAGGCTGCCTGCGCAGCCCCGCGACAGTAACATCAGGCCGCCGTTTCTCCTCATGATGCCAAAGCACGCGGCCGCCGCGGGCTGTCGTCTTCCCGAGCACAAACAGAGCTCTCCTGGATAGTCGTTCTTGGGCGAATTGTAGCCAAGAGCCATCTTTCAGCGTTCAGTGCGAGGCGCAACAATTTTCTTAGCTTCTTTGTCCGCGCTGACGGACATTCATACTACGACGTCTGGTCAACCGGCGGTTGTAGAAGCTAAGACTGCTTTGAGTCTCGGACTCTGGCCAAGTATTCGGCGCGAAGCCTCGAAGATGCTCTAACCTTGCTTGCCGAAGACCCCACGCCTTTACGCGTGTAAATGTCGATTAGGTTCATGCTCCTGCCGTTCCGCCTCGGCCCCGGAGTGGACGGGATGTCAAGGTAGGAAGATCAGGGGTGGCACAGGGAGCAGGAGCATCACAGCGTCAGCCCTGCAGATCAACATGCAGGGACAGCTGCTCTAAGCAACCTTGGCATACATCCTCTTGCAACCAGTACGGGCAAACAAGTGGCCTGATCAAGCAATCATCTCAATGGATGTGAGCAGCAAGTTGCTTCATTGGACGAATGAACGTGGCTCAGCCAAACTGTCAAACAGTGACAAGCTTGACACCATCAGACGTCTTGGTGGATGGTTCGGCACACATGATGCCAGCTGATGCTTTGGTTTCTCACGACGTAGATAACGGCAGCCAACCCCCCTCTAACTCAGGCGTTTGAGAGGGCACCTGTTTGTTCCCTCTTCTAACGCACGTTGAGATTCCACACATCCGCCATTCAGTCAAATTCTTGAAGTTCATCGAAGGGGTCCTCAACTGACGAGGGCTTGCTACCGCGGCTTGGCCTTTACTTTCCACACGACAACTCTTTGTTCAGAGAGTCATTCGCTTTGAGCTAGCCATTCCCGATCCAGTCATCACCACCGACAAAGACTTCGTGCTCAGTTCTAGAAAATCATTTCGCCGCATTCGGTTGGGTGTCTCGCTCATCAGCTTGGTCATCGACGGGCTGCTACCAGTGGTATGGAACATATTGCGCCAGACTCCCGGATTTCGTCCTAGACATCATTCTTGCTGGACTTTTTCCCTCTTCCGCACCGAAATCCCATCCCACTGTCCCGACGAGGAATCATCCAAGATGGAACCTCGAATCATCCCCAGCCAGTTGCCGCCTGGCTTAGAGATTGCAATTCCGCCTGGACACGATCTGCCTCCTCAACAACCGTCGAGCACATACCAAAGAAAGCCCCTGCCACCACTTCCTCCTTTGAGACCCGGTCTTTCACGTCAGGTCTCGGCTTTCTCTGTTGCATCGAGGACGACAATCAATAGTACGAGATCGCGAAGCAGACGGAGGAATACGCCGTCACCGGCACCATCAGGGCGGGGGGCGATCGAGAGACTCGAAAACGAGATCAGTACAATTCTGATCCAGCACAGCCCGACACCCGTATCCAGGAGATCATCAGAACACCGAAGCTGCTCGCCAACGCCTCGGCGACTTCCACGCGATGAAGAGGTGACGAGAGCTTTGGCTCCACGGCGCCTTTCAACACCGAATCTACCGTCGTCGCCGTTACTTTTGAACCCGATAACTACACCTTGCACACTACATCGTTCTTCCGCCAAGATCAAGCAGATCACAGGCCTCGATGTCGCGTATAAAGCTATCCCGCCACCGCGTCCACCCCGCTCTCCCCTGCCACCAGGCAAGCTCGCATTCCCACCGTCAACACCGGACAACCCGAGCAAACCCCCGCCGCCATCATCATCAGAACCGACGCGGACACTAGGCCTTATTACTGATGATTATGACGACGAATCAGATTTTGACAGTGATTGGGACTTCAGTCCCAGTTCGAAGCGAAACTACGCATCTTGGATTCCTGCATCGCCGGTCCCGCCCCGTGTTGAGATTCTCGACTTTGACGAGGCGAGCCCACGCCGTCGCGACTCGGAGATTGGACCGCTCAGGTCGCCCGGCATGCATCACTTTGAGACGTTGCCGGCACGGCGAAACAATCATATGGAGGTTAGCTACGTAGGAGCCAAGGACCTTTACCACGCGACAGCTACGTCGATTGCGAACTCCGAGCGCAAGAAGGCTGCGGCATCGTCCAGGGCCAGCACCGAGTCGGGTCGCGACTCCATTGTGCCTCCCAAGAACCGACTGAGCTTCGCGACCAAGGTGCTTCAGTCGGGTAGGAAGCGCCCCCCGACGGGCATCAACACCACGACGCAATCGCAGTCCCCATCCCCACCGGGTCCCATGACGGGCTCGGGAAGACTGACGGCGGGCTCGCGTCCAGACATGCACGCGCACTCGCTGGACGATGACCGTCTCCGGGTGAAGTACTCGGACGCCATTTCCCGTGTCTTCAGGTGGAGCGGCGAGCACCGGAGGGCGGTCTCAGAGGGCACATCACCGGTCGATGGGCCGGGCGCGGAACCCCGAACCGTGGCGACGCCCACCACCGCAAAGACGGTGTCATCTATGTCGTCCTCCGGTACCGGGTCGCCCGTGACGGCGGCCAACTCACCGAACAGGATGGCCAGGCGTTCGGTGCAGAACCTCGCGGCCCACGTCAGGAGGACGGCAAGCGTGATGGTGCAGTCCAAGGATGAGCGACGGAGGGAGAATCTTAGGCAGAGCATCCGGGTGATTCCGGAGGGCAGCGCAACATAAGGAGGGGTTCAATATGCGACGGCGTCGGGGTGGCGTTCGGGGCGGCTTTGGTTGGCTGCTGTATGCTTGTTTGGCGTCACGGGAGGGACGCAGCACGCCCGCCGTGTTTGGGACGAGAAAGCGGCCAGGTTTGGCCAGAGACTCTTGGGATGACAGGGAAAAGTTTGAGATGGTGTCCTGTCTCGGTGTTCGCGTTTAGCGTTGCATGTTTGTCCGGCCCCGTCATGGGCGGGATATCGACGGCGCCATCTAGACAGGGTCTATTTTTGTTGAGGCAAGCGTGGCCGCATGCCACGGAAGCCAGTGTTTGTGTCAACACATTTATTCTTAGCCGTATTAGCGATGGTTGGCGTATGGCCAAAGACGCGGGTTTGGAGATGTAATCCAGACGACTGATCTAATGAAATAGAAGACATGAGAACAAATGAAGCCGTTGATGCACACTGAAAGTATGAAAGCTCCGGTACCGCGTGAGGCGTGCGGTTCCTTGTCTCGAGGTGCCTAAGACGCACCGATAAGGTAATTGATAAGTAATAGCAGGCATTTTAGGGGTCCTGCTGGACGTAGAGCATGCAGCGCCCGCGCCGGGGCCTATCACAAGCACAGCTCACACGCCTCGGCCTCCAGCCCCGCGGCCCCTCCGTCCTCCGGCCGCCGCCTACCGAGCTTCAGGCAGGCCACCATATCTTAGGCTTCACACCCCTCCGGCGACAAATCAAGTTATTGGCGAGCCAATGAGTGCCTAGGTGATTACTGCCATCATCCAGGAACATCATTTTGCCATCTTGATGGTGATGATATGTGACCATGATCTGTGTAGGTACCAAAGTAGTTGCGGTCATCGGCCCCTTGTCCGTAGGTGAGATGGGAATGGTGGGGCAGTCGTGGTGCAGTGTGCCGTGTAAGCTCGGGTATCTCACTCAACTAACCCCACCCCCGCAATTCGGCTCGGCCTTTTTTCCATCTTCCCCCAAACACGTTCGTCTTCCCAGCAGACATTACTCCATCAGCAAGCATCTTGGCTCTCTGATCATCTTTCCCTTTCTCTTTTGCCCCCCTCCTTTCTCCAACGACACGGAATTCCCAGACAGGAAACCTAAACCCGCACACCACTCTTTCACTTCTCCACCGGCCAACCACATCCCGCGCGGGACGTACGCAGCGGCAAACATCCGTGTCACAGTCTAGCCTGACAGCACATACAGAGAGAGATAGAAGACAAACGGGCATGCACAAACACTGCATTACATACCATTAGACTTTCAGGCTTTCTAGCTCCGGGGAGTTCACCCTACCCATCAACTACCACATCCATCCACCTCCGTCTCCGACACCTCTTACACCCCCCTCCCTCATCTACCTTACACCAGCCATCCACCACTTGTGCCTCCTCCCAGCGCAAAGCACCCTCCCATCCCCTCCCCCCCTCTGTCTCCAACTCCAACTCCCCCGCACAAACTTTAAGTAGGTCCATCCGAGGCAGGGAGAACATGACCCAGCTCTCCGCGCCGGACCCAACCTCTCCCCCGTCCTTCTCCGAAGACGCAACAACATCAACAACAACCACAGCAACTCCATCCACCACCACCAACGACACCACTCCAGCCCTGCAGCAGCAGAAACCCAACGGCGACGACGCCACCACACCCCCGACAGACGCCGAAGTCCACGAGATCAAAACCCACCTCGCCGCAGCCGCAACCGCACCCGCCGTCGCAGCTCCTGCTGCGCTCGCCAAGGACCCGGCCGCCGCTACCGCTGCAACGTCAGCAGCAGCATCCAACACCACCACCACCACCGCCACTACCGACGAACCAAAGATCCTCATCCTCGACGGCGACGACGACTTCCAGGAGGTTACGAGCTACTGGGATGCTGAGGCCATGGCTCCCTTGAACGCCGTCTCTGCGGTTAGTCTTTCTTCCGCCTGCTCTTGAGCTCTAGTTGTCACCCTTTCTTATGTTTTGCCTCCTTGCGCGATGTAGAACCTTGCAGTAGTTCGCAGCCATAGTAGCATCATCCAAGGCGTCGTTCGCAGTAGTCGTAGTAGTAGTTAGTTCTACATCTCGACTTATGCGGCATCCAGCCCATCTTCAGTTTTATGTATCATCGCCGCCATATCCTCACACCCCTCTTCCACCCTTCACCATCTTATACACACACAGCGTATACAGTATATACATCCCATACATCTCACATCTCAACCTTCACCCTTCTCTTTTCCTTCTTTCTCTTTCTCCCCTTTCCTTTCCTTTCTCTGCTCTTGTCTGCGTGTGGCGCCGACGCACATGTCGCGCCGCCGCCAGAGGAAGAAGCAACCATGTACTTGTGCGCGAACCGCATGCTGATGCGCTCAAAGGCGGCCATCGCGCGGCTGCGCCGCTACGTCCCACCCCCGTTCCCCCTCTGGGACCGCCTCCCCGTCAGCCGCCGCGCCGCCGTTCTCATCCTGCTCTACGCCGACCGCAGGGGCGACCTCCGCGTCGTCATCACCATGCGCGCCGCCAGCCTGCGGAGCTTCTCCGGCCACGCCGCCTTCCCGGGCGGCAAGGCGGACACCCTGCAAGAAACGCCGTGTAAGTCAATCCCTGCCTCTGTCCTCTCCACAATACACAAAGAGAGAAGAGATCCAGAGACACAAAATGTAGAAGAAGCACATCTAACCAACCCCCAAGACGAAATCGCCCGCCGCGAAGCCTGGGAAGAAATCGGCCTGCCCATGGACGACGCCCGCATCCCCAAGCCCTTCAAGATCGAGCCCCTCTGCTACCTCCCCTACAACCTCGCGCGCACCGAGCTCGTCGTCCGCCCCTGCGTCGCCTTCCTCCACGCCGACGAGGAGCCCGACGACCCAGAGCACCCCTCCCCGCTCGTCGAGGAGCGCATGATCCCCCGCCTCGACGCCAAGGAGGTCGCCGCCGTCTTCTCCGCCCCCTTCCACAACTTCCTCCGCGCCACGGACCAGGAATCGTCATCATCATCAGCAGTCCAAAAGAAGCAGAGGCCGCTGCCCCCGGGGAGCTGGTACGAAGGCAACTGGATCCAGTGGAAGGACCACCCCTGGCGCGTGCACAACTTCTACGTCCCCGTCGACGACCAGCGCGTCACGACGCCCGGGAACGCCATGGACGCGGACCACCCGCAGGGCAACCTCGCCGAGAAGCTCGAGGAGGAGCAGGACCAGCAACGGAGGTTCAAGGTGTGGGGGCTCACGGCGCACATGCTCGTCGACGCGGCGCGCATCGCGTACGGGAAAGAGCCCGAGTTCGAGTGCAACCCGCACTTTGGCGACGAGGAGATCATCCTGCAGGCGGAGCGGGAGGGCAGCCTCGTTGACAAGAAGAGGAAGCGGGACGAGGGGGCGGGTGATAAGGACAAGGAGAAGACGGAGCCGGCCAAGATGTGATTGTGAGAAGCAAAAACGTGAGAGAATTTGGGAAATATGCTTGCATTGGGTATGATTCTTTGGAAGAAGGGCCGTTTTCCCTTCCACTTTGTAGAAATAACTATATAGAGCCTGCCGGCTAGAAGAAGCCGCAGCTGCCATGACGGAACGAAGATCTGCTTTACCCTGCCCCTCGTCCTTTTTGCTACCGAGGGAAATAAACGTACGGGAATGTGTCCAACGCCTGCGACTTGCAACATCCAGAAAAGCAAACAATGCGCCCCACCCTCCTTCCCTGCTCCCCCGCGAATAATGATTCTGAAGCAGCGTCCACGGTTCCCTGGAAAGAAAGGATATATGCCAGTTGCAAACAAAAGTCGGGCCCCCTGAAACTGTGGGACGTGTCCGTGTTGGTTTTAAGTGAGAATGGGGGAGCTCTTTCAATGGCAGGCGTTGTCCTTTGTGGAGGAGGTCGAGTTCCCAAAGATGACGTAGCCGACGAAGGCGCCGACGGCGACTGCAACCATCACCCAGCCGTTGTAAGTCATAAAGATAAGCCTGGGGGAGGTTGAGGTCAGTTTCGACGAATGCGGTTGTAAAATAGTATTATGCGCGCGCGGGTGGATTCCATGCAGCGCAGCGCAGCGCAGCGCAGCGCATGGCATGGCGGCCGAATTTGCTCGCACCCGCGCATGTAGCCCAATCGTGGCGGCTGGAGGGAAGACGAGGGGGAACTCACATAATCATAAAGGCGTAAAAGTTCTGCGCGGCGTACAGGGCAGCCTTGATGATGTGGGCGGTCCTGCTGGCCTCTGCTTGTTCGCGTCCTGTCCATAGGAAGGGGGTTGTCTCAGTAACGGTGCCAGCGATGCCTCAAGGAAGACAAGACTCTTAGCTTTTTCACATGGTTCTAGGGGGGGAGGGGGGTTTTGTAATATCTGCGCTCACCGGGGGCCGACCTCCTTCGTAGAGGAGGCGGCTCTTTTTAAGAGGTGTTTTGCGCATGTTTGTGTTTTATGTGTAAAGCAAAGAGTCTTGTGGGGGTTGTGTTTTATGAAGGGGAGGATTGTATGGTTTAGGGAGATTATCGGGACATGTGTGTGTGATATATGCGCATGTAGATGGCTCGGCCGGGGGCAGGAGGAGGAGGAGCTTACTCGGGAGGGAGTCGACGCGCTTGTTGACGGACTGCTCGTAGCGGCGGGATGCGGCGCGGAGGGCCTCGTAGCCGGCAGCGAGGGCGACAACGAGGAGGAGGGAGATGATGAGGCCGCCAGTCGAGCGGATGTGCCATTGGCGGAAGACGATGCAGAGGTTGTTTGTGTCCCAGGTGAAGAGCATCTAAGAGGAACATGGGAGGTTAGCATTGCTTGCGCTTGTTCGGGGGGACGGGTGAGAAGCCAAACTATTGGCAACAGCTCCGCGCCATCGCCGCCTCCGGGGCCGCTGCGAAGAAGGCGAGGAGAGAGGAAAGAAAAGGACATACGCTCATGCTGCAGCGGTCGCCCATGCCGCCGCCCATACCGCCGTGGCCGCCCATGTTGCTGTGGTCCATGGCCGCGTGGTCCATGTGGGAGTGATCCATGTGTGCGTGGTCCATTTTGACGCGGAAATTTCTGGGTATTCTTTAATGGATGCTAATCGTCGAGGATTCGAGGAGGCGATTGAGAAGCGGTCGTCGAGGTTCGGATTGCGGTTGTTGATGTTTGAGAAAGAAGGGTTAAGGGGGCCCAAAGGCTCGGGATGTGATACTGCGGTCGGGGGTCGGATGGTGTCACATCAGCTGGGGGTGGTGTCTGATAAGATAAGAGGTTTACGCGGGGGGAGGGAGGGTACGTCGTGGTCGGTTAGAGCGGGAGCTAAGGGGAAGATATGCGGGCGGGTATCAGAGAGACGATCTAGAATGAATGGGCAGAGCACGCCTGTTGAAGAATATGGGATTCTTGGGATTTATTACGGCAAGGTATGCGGATCCAGCCTTGTGCCGTACATGGTCATGCAGAAAAATATCACTCAGGGCACTGCGCAGAGAAGTCGGTGGCGGGCCCGTGGCTTGAGGAAACTTGCTCATATGTGCGCAGGTTGCGACGGGATGTTCCCTCGTTCCTTTTGTTTGGTTGTCACTGTCGGTGTAGGGAAGGAGCAGGTAACTAACGGGCTGCTCGACTAGCTAACAACTCAGACGGGCACTGTTCAAAGGGTGTCAGCCTTTCTTCTGGTGCGTGGCAGGAGAGTTAAGGTCGATGCGGAATAGCTCTGGTCTGGTTGGATGGAGGAGGGGCTGGAGCAGTGCCGCTGAGTGCGCTGTGCCGTGTGCTGCCCTCTAACCTCTACGCCGTAAGCAACTTCGCAGTGAGTGAGTTTGGGGCGAGCTGGATGCGGGACGTGGCGGGAGGGAAGGACCTGGCAGTGCATTCGCGGCGGCTAAGGCGTTGTTGACTCGTCTGAATTGTTTTAAGAGGGTGGTTCCGCCCGGGCCTCTCCCATCCTCGGATGCAAGTCTCGCTCGCCGGCATCAGGTGGCCAGCCAGCGTGCTTTCTTCTCCAGTGAGATGGCAGCGGCCTGGGGACTGCATTGCTGATGCAGACGAGGGCGGGCTGCTACCGAGTCCACTGTCCCATCTTCTCTTACAGACGGCCTCGTACAGCGAGCGAGGGCAGGGAATGCGAAGTGGGCGAGACAGCGCCAGACGGGTAGGGCGGGGCGAGGGGGGCCCGGCTCCCAGACATGTGTGATGCCATGCGTCACATGGGTGGCTCTTTTTGTCTTGCACCTCTCTCTTCACACTGCTCTTCCGTCACTGGACAGTGATGTGTTCAAGGATCGCTCGGCAGATACGGCGGGGTTGTTTCCGCTGAGCGGTTAGGGACCGGCTGTGGGTTTTGCCTGCGCGCGATTGAGGATGCTACGGCTCGAGTTGCCGATGATGCGCTGATGAGACCGTTCACTGGGATGTTTCCCATCTCGAAATGGAGTCTTTTGACGAGTTGAAGATCTCAATTAGTAAGAAGGTCGGTTGTGGAAAAAGCTCGTGGCGGGCCGTTCAATTTGCTCCGAATCCCCAGGCCGAAGAGCCGCTCCGGATGAGGCACGGCTTTTAGCGGATGGAGGCTGATAAATGCGACTGCTCTTTTGTTGGAAATCCGACAGAAAGTCGACAAAAGCCTAAAATCTCATTAAATGCTGACTTCTCATTCGCCACGTTAGAGCAAAGAGAGGCATTATCTACACAACGACATCCCATCCTATCCGCCCCTCGACTCTGACCTGACCTCATCTTGACCTGTCCATAAACATCCTGCCGAGTCATCAACCCACATATAATTCTCCATCACAGGAGGAAAAAAGTCAACTCTGATACTATTGGCAACTTATTGAATTGGAGTAGTGGCCCGCGACTCAAGTGACTCCGACAAACTTCTCACAATGCTCTCCACCCCTGTCAACCTCCCCAAGTGGTAAGTCCGCTCGTGATGCACTTGAAGCTATTCGCGCAATACCAACTCACACCAACACAAGGCTGGAGGAGAACTCCCACCTCCTCAAACCGCCAATCAACAACTACTGCGTCTACAATGAAGACTTCACCGTCATGGTAAACCCAGCCCCTCCCCCTCTCACCCAGGCCTATGCAACTTACTCACATCCCCTCCTCAGATCGTCGGCGGTCCCAACGCCAGGACGGACTACCACATCAACCAGACCCCAGAGTGGTTCTACCAGTACAAGGGCGCCATGATGCTCAAGGTCGTCGACGACGGCGTCTTCAAGGACGTCATCATCCGCGAGGGCGACATGTTCTTGCTGCCCGGCAACACCCCGCACAACCCCGTGCGCTTTGCGAACACCGTCGGCGTCGTCCTCGAGCAGCGCCGCCCCGAGGGCTCGCTCGACCGCATGCGCTGGTACTGCGAGGCCTGCCGCGAGGTCGTCCACGAGGCGGCCTTCCACTGCACCGACCTCGGCACGCAGATCAAGGCCGCTGTTGAGGCGTTCAAGGCGGACGAGGCGGGCCGCACGTGTAAGAAGTGCGGTGTTGTTGCGGAGTCGGCGCCGAAGCCTGGGTCGATCAAGGACCCTAACCTGGAGTGATGCTGTGGGACTCTGAGATTGAAAATGGAGTTTGGCGGGTGTGGTTTACGGGATGTTTGGTATATTGTAGGCGATGCAGATCAAACCATCTATAAAAGTACATGTGATCTTGCTACTGGATGTTTCGAGACTTTATATCCTAGACCGGTGACCGCCGTGCCTCCTCCATCACATAAACCCCCTCATGATACTGCATTAACCTAACTTCACGAAATCCTCCGCCTCATGTCTCCGCAAAGACGTACGAGCTAGGCGACTCCTCCACCGCGACCTCAATCTTGCCCTCGGCGAGTTCCTTGCCGCCGACGCGAATACCGGCGCGGATGACGTCCCCAGGCACGGCCGGGCCGACGCCCGCGGGGGTGCCCGTGAGCACGATGTCGCCCTGCTCGAGGGTCATGACCTTGGAGATGTCGCTCAGGATGCGCGGGATCTGGAAGAGCATCAGGTTGGTCGAGGCGTCCTGCTTGGTCTCGTTGTTGACCTTGAGGAAGAGCTCGACGTCGTGCGGGTCCGCGATGGCGGACTTGGCGATGACGTCGCTCATGGGCAGGAAGGTGTCGAAGCCCTTGGCGATGTCCCAGGGCAGGCCCTTCTTCTTGGCCTCGTTCTGGGCGTTGCGCGCCGTCATGTCGATGGAGACGGCGTAGGCTGTGAAGTGGTTAGCCTATGAGGAGAGATTGTGTGAGGTAGGGGAGTGACGCACCCTCGATGGCGGCCAGCGCGCCCTTGTAGTCGTCAGGCTTGAGGTCCTTGACCTGCTTGCCGAGGATGAGGGCCAGCTCGACCTCAAAGTGCATGTCGACGCCCTTGGGCCTCAGGACGGGGCCGGCGCCGGGGAGCAGGATGGAGGAGGTGGGCTTCAGGAAGAAGAAGGGCTGCTTGGGGCGGGTGTTGTTGAGCTCCTTGACGTGGTCGCTGGATGCTGCATGTTAGCCGTCTGGGTCACAGGCAATGGCTGGGGTGGGGGGTTTGCTCACGCATAGTTGCGGCCGATGCACACGACCTTGCCGGCCTTCTTGAACGAGGCGGCGGTAGCCATTGAGCGCTTGAAAATCATCGACATCTTGACGATATATATGAATTGAGGTCTGAGATGAGGTTCTGTCAGCGCTTCGGGGGCTCTTTAGAGTGAGTGAGGGTAGGCGACGTCGGAGGTGGTCACCGGAGCTTCATCGGAGTCTCGGCTCACGAGCCCGATAACCTCGGGAGGATACCCGGTGAAAGGGAGATTTGCTAACGTACAAGAACTTTGATAACTGCAGATAAAGGCGCAATTGTCAACCCTGAATTCTTATTCAATGAGGGCTTTACTTTTCTTCGTAACTGCACTCCCAGATGGTTCACTTACTCTGACTGGACAATGGCTTGCTCTGCGGGAGAGAGGTGTCTGAAGCTCCAGTGGGGAACTTCCCCTCGGGGAAAGCAGGAAAGCCCGAGGCCTGAGTGGTCAGAAACGAACATCGATAACGCCATTTGAGCCACAGTGAGCCACAGTTATCGGTTCCAGCACGCCACCCCCACCACTCAGCAACAGGATGAGGAACAGTCGAATAGAACGGCAAGTCATTAATAATTATTCCAGCTCGTTGCCATATTATATCTCCTTTATAAGTGTATCATACCAGACCATGGCAATTCTGATTGTTCTATGTTGGCGCTAGTGTAGTACAGATAGCATTCCCCCGTGAGGCAACGTCCGCGGGCACGTTGTGGCATTTCGAAAGTGCTACTCGCATCGCTATGAAATGCAATCGCTCCTGAGGCAAGGTAGGACAACGAAAGACGAACAGACGTGCAGGTTTGACTTTTCATCGGCTTTTCTGTGAGTGCTAGGGGATAGCGGGTTGCCAGGGCCATGCTCAACAGCTGTATTCCTGCCATTTGTTTCCAGCTTCAAGATCATTTGCGCAAAGAAAACTGCTAATGCGTATACTAGTATGTGTAATACAAAGTATAAGTACATGTCAGACTCCAGCAATAAAACGCTTCTCGTTCTCGAAGAGACCACAGCATGGCGAGTTATGGAAGATTGTCATCCAAAGTACGCGGACCATTTACAGCATACCCGAGTGTTGAGCATGGCCTTTGTCAATTCAAAAGGGCTGCAGCTAAGTTCCCTCGGCATACTACTGTGCAGTACGGATGGATGCCCAGACAAAGGCAGCATAACGGGACGGTTTCCCCAGGTTTGATACGTACTGAGATCTGCCCAAACTCCAAGCGGTGGAGAAGATTGGTCGCGGGGAAAGCAGGCCAGGCACGTCCAGTGGACAGTGACGGTGACAATCGACAGGGAAGAGCCCGGGGATCCGCGCATTGTGGCTGAAGTGCTCGGTGTGGGGGGTTTCCTCCTCCCCGCTTCCGCGAAGATGGCGACAGCATCAGATCCAATGGGAGATCGAAGAGGACACTTTGCCTTGTCTCCGGCGGGGTAACTGGGCGCCCTGGGGTTGCGCTTCTGCAACTTCTGATCTGCCGCCGTCTGGTACTCTGGGAGGTGCTGTCCATTGGTGGTGTGCCTGTTCATCAGCAGTATTAAACGCAGTAGTGAATGTGCCACGGCGGCGTGCGGCAGGAATCAAGCACACGCTGGAAGTCACCACAACGGCAGCTGCAGCAGCAAAGGAGCACCAGCACCCGCACCCGGCGCTCTGTCCTTCCCCCACACGCTTCTCAGACACAATCAACTTTAAGCCGCCTGCAGCAAGCTAGAGGTACTTGACAAGCGCACCATCACACCGCTACTGCTGTTGTACCTGACGCTCTGTGGGAAAGAAGAAAAAGCTAAGACAACGCGGAAGCCTTGAATGACGGCGTCGGTGGGTTTCCATGGCCCGTCCCACCAACAACCTCCCACCTCCCAGGCTGTCTTTACCCTTCGGCCGCCCGCTAAATCCCACCATCGATATCCACTTCCCAGCAACGCCTTTAACATTCCTTGGACTTTAATTGACCACCTCCATCCGTCCCTTTACACGCACGCGACCGAAAATCCCCAGGAGCCCTTTCGCAACGCAAACGCAGCAAAGGACGCCCGACGCCATGGAGAGTCTCCAGCTGGCGCAGATGCTCGCCGACCTGAGCAGCCTCAACGCGGCGGTACGTTTTCCTCCTCGTCTTCCTCATCCCCTGGCCCCCCATTACTCGCCCATGTCACCCATCGAAATCTGCCCCTCGCGGTGCGCATCTCGCAGGGGGTAGGATGGGAGGCAGATCCGCAACAAACTTTTCTCTGCCTTCGCAACCGATGCTGCCTCTCGAGAATAACCCAAGAAGCTGACGATATTTCCGTCAGGAACCCAATGCAGCAGCAGCTCTCGTGACGGCGAACAAGGCGATCGAGACGGTTGAAAAGACCAGCGGCGGCGTCGTCCCCAAGCGACCAACCGACGAACTCCGCCGCGCACACTCTTCCCAGACATCACGCCCAGGCACAGGCACCGCGACGCCCGCTCGCGTCGACAAGTTCGGGCGCCGCAACATGATGAGCCCGCCCATGCTCTCGCGGTCCAACTCAGCCCAGGGTTCCGTTCCCGGCACGCCCAAGGGGGTTTCTGACGTACATCACCCCCTTCATCACCCTTACCCCCATCACTTCCTGGAGGTCCCGGGACAGGAGACGAGAGCTCACACGATTACGCAACAGGGCGAAGACGATTTGGACAGGGCTTCGACGCTGATGGCTTTGTACGAGATCCGCGCGAAGCTGAAGCAACAGGACAATAGCAGCTTGATGAAGGCGAGAGAGAAGATTGCGGACCTCGCGCAGAGGCAGCAGCAACAGCAACAAGGCGGTGCGGGCAAAAAGGAGCCCGAGAAGATTACCTCCAGGTTTACGTTTCCCAAGTGACGACAACGACGACACATCGACAACACGGACGGATGCAAACGGTTTTGTTACCTTTTGAGCAGCGGCGGTATGGCGTTTTACGGGCGAAATTCTTTCTCCATTTTTCAGCAAGGGGGAACAGGTACTCGGCATGGTTGCTTTATTAAAAGTCACGACGAATTTGGTGTTACGGGTTCCACGAGCGGTTGTCACTTGGATGGCTGGGCATGTGCTACAGGTTTGGAAGGACAGAGAGGCAACCTTTGATCGAGGTCGCTCGCTGGCTCTCGGTTTCGGTCCTTCATCCGGTTAATGAAGGACCTTGGGAAAATTTCGGTGCGGGTTGACAAAAGATTGCGAGGGTCTGTTATCCTTTGAGGACGCAGCCTCTTTTGATGCTCTGTAATAAAGCGGTTGAGAGGCTGAGTACATCGCAGCGCTTGCTGGGGGAAGTTCCGTCGTAGACTACACTTTTCTTCTAATACCAAGAGCAGTACAACTACGATTTGAAATGGCTTTCGCGGACCGACGTGTTGGATCAGCTTAGATTTGACGGATACCGAAAAAGGGATGCAAGCGGTAAAAAGTCAACCTGCCGCCAAGCCCGGCGGTGCACCGGGCATACCACGGAGGTCCCGGCCGACGGGTGTGCGGCGGCAGGTGAGGGTTTTGAGACCGAACCAACCGTCCGGCGCCTAGCTCGGGGATTGGCCAGGAAGCGCGGCAAGGCAAGCAAAAACAGAGTTGGTCGCGAAGGAAAAGCTGGAAACAGCCTTGGCGGAGGCGCCATGGAGGCGGTAAATCTAATCTCTGTTGGAGGGGCCGCGCTCGTGGAAGTTCAGCTGGGATTCCCGATTTCGTGGGTTGAATAGAGGTGGGATGGGTTAGATTGTAACAAGCCGGCCTGAAGCCTCGGCCGGGCTGTGCTATGTTAAGTAATCGGAGCCTCCAACGTCCTCTTTGATGAGCGTCTTGCCGTTGTTGGTGCTATGGAGGATTTTCTGTACCTTCGCACGTCGCGTACGGTTTGCTCTGGATAGATATTTGGATGAATGCGCGGGGATCCTTGGCCAGGACCTTCCACTCCTAGTGGGGTGGTCTTCGACGCCAGGCAGCGCTGGACGGGGCCGCCGTCAGCAGCAGCAGTGCCCCCGGCAGCCCGGGACACGCGGGTCGCCGGGCGTCTTTTAAGGTTGGTTTTGGCAGTCGCACTCGCGTCGAAGAAATGGAGCTGGAACCCAGGATGGTGGGTATTCCTGTCCTGAATCCCTAGAAACGCCCGCGGAAGAAAGGGGTTAACGTGGAAGGAAACATTGGATTGCTGTTATAAACAAGTGAGGGCTTATTAGGCTGAAGTTATGAGTACCTTAGTCGAAGAAGGATTCTTAGTGGAGGGGGATGAGATGAGATGAAGCTGCAGAGAAACGAGACCAGCCGGAGATATTATGCTTGCGATGCCTGGGTAGGTAGCTCACGTGGGCGGCCGTCTCTCCCGGGCGAAAGTGGTGAGTTACCCTGACGGACGAGGGAAGTTGTGGAATGTCGCCGCCGGTCGGTATATCGATCGTTTAGCTCTGATGAATTCCGGAATAGGCAATTGGGGATTACACCATCACTGGCGGCGATGCGGAAGAGGTGACAAATGGAACGGGAATAAGGGACGGGCGGATCTGGTGAGCTGCGCAGCTCTGCATCGCCTAGTCCACTTGGCTCGCGCATTGGCAGGCCATGTACCTGACGACGAGAAATGCTGCAGAAGATGGGCGACGGCGCAAAAGTTTCCTCTCGATGATTCCAGATTCCGGCGGTGGTGACTGGTCGTCAGTAGGAAGGTAGGGTCACGCTACCGCGACAGCGCCACGGTTGGTGAGGAATCCCGGCGGGGAATATTGGGCCACCAGAAGTGTTTGGCCAAGCCTCCCTCGTTTGCCTTTTCGGCTGGTGATGTCAGGCGCTGGGAGCGATATCCCCGGCCGGCCTGCGCTCGCTGTGATTCGCTCCTCGGCGTGCTGCGAGGAGAGGACAGCTGCGGTTGGCTCACTATTGGAGTACACAGCCACTGACGGGTCGCTGGAGAGCGGTTGACTGACTGGCTGGTCGGGCGAAATGGACCCTGCAGAATAGAAGTGTTTTGTCATGACTTTGGTTGTTGGGGGAATTGTAATGGCAAGTAGTGCTGATACCGGCGCAGCGGTGATGCTGATTGCTGATGATGCTGGTGCTGCTGAGATGTTTCTGAGGGAGGCATGGTCCAGGTGGTCAAGATTCGGATAGGTAGGTACCGTCTCGATGGAACGGAGGGACGGAGGTACAAGAACGGCAAAATCGGAACCAGTTTCGTGAGGCAGCCCGGTGTTAGGATACGGCGGCCGGAGAGTAAGGGTACTTTGTGTGCGTTGGAGTCAGTCACTGTGTGTGTGGGAATGCGCGAAGGTTCCAAGCTCCGAACAAGCAACCAAAAGTCTGGGCAGAGGAGGCAGGCCACGCAATTCATTCGGGGCCGGTGACTCTGCCCAGCCTCCAAGACGTCGCTTTGTCCAGAGACGGGTGACGGTCTTCTTGGCCTTTTCTTCCTCACCTAACTTTCATGACCTACCAACGAATATAATTGATCCATCCCTCGTCCTTCCCCCCCCCTCCCTCTTTCGCCCATCCCATTTATTTAGACCTTTTTCGCCAAGCTCGCGCTCAGCCTAATCAAACCCGACTCGACTCTTGCAGCGTACGCTCCGCCCTGCATAACACCCCAAACGACCTAAGCCTTATTGCACCTAAACCCACCTACGAGGTCCCTGAAGCAGAGAACCTAACCCGGGCGGGCCTTATTTCATCCAACCTTTGCCCCATTCACTCGTACGAGGGGGTGAACGTTCCAGCAACCGCGACGTCAGGCCAACAGCCATCACGTCATTGAATAGCAACACATCTCACGACACAACGCCACGAGCTTTCTTTTGCTTTGGCATCACTGCGAAGACGAATCTAGATCGAGAGACTTCCTAACACCGCGTCTTTACTTTTACGGCCACATTCCCTGTTTGTCGGCCAGTAAATAAGTTCGGTTGGCAACTTCCGTCACCTACAACCGACAGCAAACATCGACTGCGCCGTCTCCATCCAGCGCATCGCCAAAATCATCAACATGGCGCCCGCAGATTTTCACATCCTTCCCTACCCTCTCCCTCAGGCAACTCACGATGCGATTACGAAGAGGTAAGTCTTTCGTCATACTTCCCCGTCGGGCACATCGCGATCTTCCGCCGATCAACAACGACGGCAGATTGCGATGGCCCGTTCCCCCTCCCCATCCCATCGCTGCGACGATTCGTCCACGGAAAACTAACACCAACGTCCAGAGCCACGTACTGTAACGCATACGGGTGCTACGAACGCAGTTCGTGGTACTACTGGGGCCGCTGGGTCCTCGCTGCCGTCGTCCTGGGTATCGCCATCCTCATCCTCGTCGCACTAGGGTACGTTACATCCAGCACATCGCCTTCCCCGAACAAAGCCCCCAAAAAGAAGCTGAACTGACTCTCTCAAAACAGATGCGTGAGCTCCCGCCGTCGCAGAAAGCGCGGCATGTCGCCCTTCTACGGCACCGGCTGGATGAGCAACAACCAGAAGTACTACCCCCAGAACACCACCTACGCCTACAACCAGCAGTACCCGCAGCAGGGCTACGGCCAGGGCCAGCCCGGGCAGTACCAGAACCCGCCCCCGGCCTACGGCCAGCAGCAGCCCCAGTACACCGGCACCACCTTCAACCCCAACGACGGCTACTACGGCAATCACAACGAGGGCATCAACCTCCAGCAGCCGCAGAACGCGTACCACCAGCCCCAGGGGACCTACGCGCCTCCCGCCGGCCCGCCTCCCGGAAAGTAAGAGGGTGCTTGCGTGTGTGTGATTTTGGGAGAGGATGAGTTGCCATGCGAGAAAGACAGCACGATGGAAGGGAATGGGAAGGGATATGCGAACACCAAATGATACCTTGATTGCGGACCAAAATTGATCCAGCGGCGTTTTTGAAGGGTTTCCTTTTCGATGGGAATTGGGGGACCTATGAAGATGAACCATGTGGAGGAACGAAACGTCGGCTGGAGTTCATTCTCCTCCTTTTCACGGCCTACGATGGTCAGGAAACGGGCTTTTCCCCTTCTGACTGTATGATATCTCTTTTTTTAGTAAAAAGACTAGTTTTTTTCTAACGACGTCGACCTCTCTCGATGCTCTGACGTGAGAAACTCATGTCGTTGGCCGATCTATGGTGACGCGCTAAGCTCAGGCCGTGAGCACTTTTAAACGCCGGCTTCAACATCAGATGGTTCCTGAATTTGCGGTAGCTGACATCTGAGCTTCTAGAATGAGGTTCCAGAAAACACGGGGCGCTCTCTGGCGGTGACAATCTCGGTGCCCCGGAGCCGGGAGCTAGAAAACGAGGACGGATGCCTAAAACGCCCATTTCTCGAAATCTCGTGGCGTTCATGGTTCTTGATCCCACGATCCTCTCAGATGGAGATGAAGTCGAGAAACCACGGCAAGCCGAATAGTAATAGCCCAGGAGCCTTAGCGAGTAAGTAAAATACACTACTTGACTCAGCAGCACTGAAAACATATCGGAGCACAAGAACGAGTGCCCTCTTTCTTCATCGGCGGTTGTCCGGATGGACACGGCGCCTCCTTTCCCCCTCAGGACCGCCTGGAATGCGACGAGAAAGTCTCACCGACGCTGCTTGAAACAGTAAGGGCCATGTTCGCATATAAAACGACCGAACCCCTTCAGCGCCCACCGTCGACCGAAAAGTTCGAGACAAGGAGAACAACCCTCGGTTTCGCAACGCTATTCTCGGCGGCCCCCATTGCCGTATCCGACCCGCCTGCTCAGCCCGCCTGACGAGAAGACACGACGAACGACACGGAGTTCCGATTGTGGCGAGTGAGGTTAGGATTGAAGCAGAGTTGTGTGGCTGACCCGGGTGGCGTTCATGGAAATAACCATCGGCCGTGGCATCCGAATCATGTGGGAAAGCCCCAGACGCCCGGACCACTGCCAAGTCAGCATGGGTGCCTGAATCCTCAGGCGAGCGACAGATAGAGTCCACTCAAAGTGCAGGTTTCACCTTGTGACCCTGCAGATTGCAAGCCACTCTGTCTCTGTCTCTGCATGTTGCGAGCAGATTTCGGCCGGCGTGTGGGTTTGGGCTTGTGCGCTGCGAAACTTCGGTAACCCGTCAGCGGGCGAGCAAGCTCAAAATTGTGGTCGACGAATCCAAATCATCTCCGACCCCTGACAAGCTTCTCAGAAGGAAAAGCGGGAGGGTATGGAAATACGTACCCCCTGGCCGGCTAAAGAGGTTGCCGCTAAGGGACCGGGACTTGGGGAGGAGGGAATGCTTCGACCAACGGCCAACGCGACACTGGAATAGGTGGGAAAGGGAACGGCTGCGCCGCGGCACTTGCGCGATTACAGGGGCCTTGCTGGCACAGAATTTTGCAGTGCATGCTTCTGCCGCGAGTTGATTCTGATTCCATTGCCTGCCCGCTGGCAGAGTTCGCATTTCTCAGCGAGGGTGAGGCCGGGAGAGAGGGAGACTCTGCGGGAGAGAATGCGAGCGAGGAGCGAACTGCTCACCCCACCAGAGTTCGTCTGAGCCAGGCACGATGCACGCCGCACGGCACGCTGCACGCTACGGCCAGGAACGCCTGTGAGAGCGAGGACGCTCGTGGAGCTTCAGGTCCAATCTGCATCCACTTTGGTGAGCATACAGCAGCCAGCAGCAGCGCGGCTTGGTACACTAGGCAGGGGGATGCCGCTAGAGCGGCATGGCGCTCGATCGCAATTCAAATTTCCCGCTCACAATCTGAAATCTCCCTTGGCTTCCCTCATGTGTGTGTGGGCTGTGGACAGTGGTGCGCGTGCGTGTGCCTTCTCTCTGCCTTCCATCTCTGCTCTCTCGTTCTCTCTATCGCATCGCCCTTGATCGCTCAAGTCGCTCTCTCTTAGGTAGGCACGACACACTGACGATTTTGTCATTGCGCAGTGTGATTTGTTGATCTCCCTGTCTTTCTCTCTTTCTGAGGTAGGCTCTCCTCCCCTCGGGCCGTTTCCCTACCTCTCCGCTCTCACTGGACGGGGTTCATCCACTGTGTGTTTTGTCGTCTTGATCGCCCGCAACCCTCGTGGAAACCGTTAGCTTTCTGGGAAAGTAGCGCGTGCGTCACGTCAATCCTTTCCCGTTCCTTTCTTCTCTCAACGCTCCTCGTTATTTTTCTCCCTCGTCACTCCTCATCCTCCTCCCTTCCGTCCCCTCACTGACGCTCCGGGAAAAGGTACACCTCCAAGGCCATCCCATCCACGGCACGGCGGCCTCTCACATCCTCTTTTTTATTTCTCTCGACACTCTTTGGAGGTGCATTATCCTCGACAACCCGACCCGGCAGGCTGCGTCCTGTTCCGTTCGCTCCTTTATCAGTTGTCTTTCGTCCCAAGTCCCGCCCGCCTTCCCGAGGCTGTTTGATGCCGGCTCCCCGTGTCTCTCTCTGCGCCTGATTCACTCCCTTTAAGGAACGATAGACATATACACAGCATCAGCAAAGTTTGGATAAATAATCCACTCATTCCTTTCTCGACTCAGCCCGCCGCCACACGAGGATTTATTGCATTTTTCGTCACCACACACACAATTTACGTCTCACGAAGAGACCCTCCTCAGCTACAGCCCACTACCTACCTGGGATATCCGTGTTTCTCTCGACAAGGCCCGCGTATACCATACGAAATATCGGGAACCACCACCCCTTTTCTACACCAAACAAACAGCGTCATTCGCCCAATAAACCGCCAGCTCCCAACCGCAATCTGTTGGCCACCGATCGCCTATTCTCGGGGTCATCCTGTCAACCCTGCGGTGCTTACTGACTGCACCGCCCAGTTTCAGCGCCATTTTGAGACGAAAACCTCTGGGCTTCCCTCGGTCCTACGCTGTCATTCGCTGCGCCTTCCCCTACCACTACGCAAGGGGGCGACTACGCTTTACACTGCACCTCCCACAGTGACGAACCACCATCAACTCTCCCTCTTCTAACGGCAACACACAGGCATTTCAATTTCGTCCCTTCCAGAACCGGTCTGTGAGAGGGGACATCTACTTTCGTTCACGCCTGCCGCTTTCGCTTGCTGCGCTTTTGCCTCTTCGCCCGTTTCTCGCCTGAGATCGCTCTGTTACACCTGCGTCACCCGGACCTTCAGTACACAAGCGGCTCGCCTTCCATTCCCTTGACTGCACGGAAGATCAACGTGCGTTCAGCCGATCAAACGAAACACCGAGCAATCCGTCTTTTTTCATGAGATGATGGACCTATAGTCTTGTTACTATTCCGCAACTTAATCCCTCTCTCATTCGACAATCCCGACCCCGACACATACCCCGGCTTTTTCGAGGGTATCATACCGAGAATCACGTTCGTTGGAGAGAAACACGGCATCTCAGCTTTCAAGATGCCTTCGATCGACGTCGCCATGGCGAGGAGCCTCCGTGGAGGAGTTTGGGGCTCAGTAATGTCTAGCATGGCTGCGACTATCGAGAAGCGCCAGATCATGTCCACGGTGGAGAACGTGGGAAACCAGGTTAATGATGTGAAGACGGCATTTTCAAGTTGGGACAACTGCATGTCCGTCAACTATTGCAAGTAGGTTTACACGGCTTAAGTTAGGATCGATGGATGCTGACATGCGCAGGTGGCCGGTCATCGGAGTCATGATTGTTGGAGGCTTGATCATCTTTTCAATTGTATGGTGCATCATTCGATGCGCTTGCTGCGGTCTGTCGTGCTGCTGCCAGTGCTGCTACTGCCTCAAGTGCTGCGGTAACTGCTGCGGCTGCTGCGACACCCCGAAAGGAACGCCTCACAAGTACCTCGACGAGCCGTACTCTTCGAATCAAGGATACAAGTCACAAGCGCCCATGAACGCGAATTCGAACGTACCGCCATTCCTTCAAAACCAGCCTACGCACACCGCACACTCCACAGCACCAGCGCCCGTGGCATCCGGAGCCTCGGCGCCCCCTCAGTACGCCGAATTCGATGTTAGCAAGTCCGGAGGCAAGGAGGACGGAGACGCTCTTCCTGCCATGCCCAGCTGGGAAGGTGCTGGATCCAAGAAGGTCGCGATTGAGGAAGAGGTGGAGCTGGAGCAGATGAACAAGCCTGCAGCGTCGCCAAACCCGAACATGCCTCTCATGGCACCCAACGCCATGTCCCACCCGAACAGCCCGATGCCTGGCGACAGGAGCCCTTACGGACAAAATGGACAGGCCGGAGCTAGCAGCTACTTCCCCAACCAGTCTGCGGATCCTTATGCCATGAACAACCAAGGATTCAACAACAACTACGACAACGGATACGGACAATCCAACTCATCTTTCGGCGTCGACCAGTACGGAGCCGCAGCTGCGGCTGGAGCAGCTGGAGGCATGGCGATGAATCAAGGCAGACGGACTCCCGCCCGTGAGTTCAACAACAACGGCTACGGCCCGCAAAGAGGACAGACTTTCCCACCGCCCCAGCACGAGCTCGACGGAGGCTTCGGCGGCTTTGAGCAAGGAGGATACGGCATGGGTCGCCCCCCGCGGAACGGACCTAGCCCGGCCCCCAGCAGAGCCTTCACTGCCCCCCCTCGCAACGGCCCCAGCCCTGCGCCTGCTGGCTACCGCCGCTCGCCGGCTCCCGATTACCGCGGTTCCCCCGCCCCTCCTCCTGCCGACTACCGCAGGTCCCCCGCTCCTCAGGATCCCTACCGCCGCTCCCCTGCGCCTCAAAACGATTACGGTTTTGACCAGCAAGACCAGTATGGCAACGACAACTACAACCGCCAACAATACGGTGGTGGTGCGCGTCAGTACTCGTCCGAGTCGACCCGACCTTTGGCCGCGCCTCAGCGTAGCTACACCGGAGACCACGCTCCCCAGTCCCCCGATCTCCAAAACTCTGGCGGCTTTGACTTCCAGTCAGGCTACAGCCGTCCGCAGCAGTACAACTACAACCGCGGCCCCGCCACCGGCCAGCCAATGCACGCCGAGCCGGAGGAGGAAGAACAGCGCCCCCCGCAAAGCAGCGGCGGCACGTACCCAGGATACAAGGCCTACCAGCCGACCAAGGAAGGCTGGAGCGGCGTTTGAGCGAAATGAAAGAAAAGCATTTATCACGACATTTTGACATGGAAAGCACTGTTTTCGCATGCGTGGCGACAAAGTGGAATGCTGTCTTCGTCACGGCAGTCTATTTAAAGACTAATGCAGTCCGAAATTCATACATCCGAGGCGGCGTTACTTTGAGTTTTGATTAAAGTGGTTTCGTGAGGGGGTCATCCCTGAATCGACCGCACCCTTTCGCAGAAACCACTGGTCGTCTGTTTGGAACATCAAAAAGAGAGAACTGGGGTTGGTTTCCCACACGGAGTTTCGGGCATACAGAAAGAGCCTTTTTTCGAATCTTGATGAGGGAGCAATGGAGGGTGTATAATGAAATGACCCAGGTCAAAGTTTCTGTTTCTATGTTTTACTGTTTTTTGTACGGGTTTCCCTTGCGTCATGGCGGATCTTCATTTCTTGCGGGGCCTTTTGTTCTTTTTTTGCATTCGCGTGGGTTTGGCCGTCCACACAGCACTTCTTCACCTCACACGTCTTGACGCTGAACGAGCCGCAGGCTGGCGTCGTCTTCTTCCGTCATTGATCGTTTGCTACGTTGTCCATCCGCAGACTTGGGATGGATTTGAGTTTTGGGGAGCAGGAAGGTTCAAGAGGGGGTTACTCGGACGTTGCGTCTAGGGTAGGGGGTGCGGGAGATGGACAGGGGTAAAGAGGTTGTTGCGATGATGGTGTGGGAGAGATACCCGCTTCGCGAGAGGAGATATCAGAGGATTGAATTGAAAAGATCATACCAAAGACTTGTGACTTGTTAATCGTGCGACGTGATGATGAGATTCGTGGTAATCTGAATTGCGGGTCAGCCGCTGTTGTAGTTCCGCAAGCCGTGTATGGATTATCTCTTTTCGTCCTTTTCGGAAGAGAAGATGCAGAGGCGCGAGTATATATCTGATGAGAGAAGAGGACGTGACGATGAATTTTCTTCTCCGTAAGTACCTAAACAAGATTACCTGAAGCATCTTGTCTTTCGCATCTTTGACTGCGTTTTCTTGTCGTCCATCAAGACACACAGACGTCTCAAGTCCGGCTTTGCCAGATCGTTGTCGCCATCACACGGTTGCAGGATTCACAAGGAAAACGGGTGATGTAGTTAAGGCAGTGAACGGCGATAGGGGTCTCTGGTGATGGTGATGGCGTAGTTGGGAGAGTATACCAAAAGAGAGAAGTGAGAGCATTAATCTTTGTCACCGTGGATAAGGCCAACGGAGCATGTGATTGTGTCCGAAATGCTGGGCGTACGAGCGACTCATGAAGCCTAACAAGCGTGTATCCGGGATTTTATTAAGATTGTGAGGCTTGGTTCGATCTGCTGTTGAACAACCTATTTCCCTCCCCCTTTAACGAGGCGTCAAGTTTGAAAACAAGAATTGTGTCTCTTTCTTTTTTTCTATGTCTCCTCTGCAATCTCTTGTGCCATCAATGGCAATTCGTCAGTGCAATGGTTGGAAACAGTATTGACTTTGGCTGAGGCACTTCCAGTGGCGACTTACATGAAGGCGTTTGAGGGGCCAGGACCGCGATAACGTCTCCCTCTGTCCAAACGCCGGCGCGATGGCGTGGCAGAGCAGTCTCCCTTTTGAAAGATGTACAGAGAGGCGGCCGACGTCTCTGCTGGATTGGCCGGGTCGTTGGCCATTCCCGACGTCCAATGCTTTGCACATCTTCCAAGGACCGGAGGAACTGCAACTGTACGGCTGCCATGCACTCTGCCAAACGTCCCTGTTGATCGGGAAATGTGAAGGCATCAAACAAGCAACCCGAACCGTCATCCTGCCAATACCTGTGCGCTGGACACCTGATCCTCCCACCCGGAAAGCAAGTCCAAAAGGGCATACTTTCAACTGATCCTCTATTCTGACTCCCCCAATCGTCCACCCCGTTCATCCGAGACGGGGCCGCTCCTCAGTCCTCGTATTCCCCAATGTGTCGTGGCAGCTTTACGCCAGGCTGTTGCTTGGTATACCATCGTCTTGGTGTCCTGTCATCCTCTTCCATCTCATCCACTTATTCCACACATCGACCAGAAACTCGAACTTGTGCTGGGAGGCTTTGCTGACGCCTCGGTTGCCCGAAATTCGAACAGGGGCGCCGGCCTTCAAAATATACGCCTGCGGAGATCCATCGTTCTTTTGACCCACCATGCTGCTTTGTTAGAGGCCGTGTCGTAACAAAAGCCCCAGAGGAAAGAAGTCATTCACAATGGGAGTCTTAAGAAACGGACGTGACCAGCTAATGCATTGAATTACCCGAGCTTGCTATTCTCCATAAATACGCTGCGCAGCAAGATATGTGATAACGTATATAAACCATATCGATATTGTTACAACCCTAAGAGACCATCTAGGCCCTGCACCCGTACATGTTCTAGGTTTCCGTCCTCTCGCAAGGGTTACGAACATCACTCCTTGGGGAAGAGCTCCGCCGATATGTCCTTCCTTTGGTGGTTCGTCCTGCTCGAGCTGCTGCCAATCACCGTGGGCGCATCGCCGTCCTTGTCGGGGTCATACTCGGCATCGTCCGCGTGCTTCGCCTTCTTTAACCTCAGACTGCCGCTGTCGTCCGAGTCGGTGTCGTTGTCGCTCGCCTCGTCGGCGTCGTCATACGGGCTGACGGCCGCGTGCCGCGAGCTCCACTCGGGGTCTTCATCCGGCAGGCGCTCGTGCTCGGTCTGCGGCTGCTTGATGAAGGAGTCGATGATGTAGTACTGCAGCGCGTTCATGATGAGGGGGAAGAACATCATGACGAAGAAGATTTGCAGCTGCTCGTTGCCCTCGGTCCAGCGCAGGGCCCAGTCGCCGACACGTGAGATCCAGGGGAGCAGCAGGAAGATGATGAGCACGCAGAGCTTCATGCCAAAGAGGCCGCAGAAGTAGATGACGGACTGCTTCAGCCACCACCAGGCATTTGGCGGGTTGCCATAGTTGCCGGACTTTATCGACTCGGCGGGCTTGCCCATTGGCGTGTAGGCCACAAGGCCGGTGAGGACTCGGAGGAGCACGATAAGGATGGGGATGCCGATCGTTGTCTGGGACACACGTTAGCCGGGGACAGACAGAACGCAGGGAGCACAAGAAACTTACGTCGATGGCGAGGTTGAGCAGGTAAAACGAGCAAGGGTTTGGCGTGTAGTCCTCCTCGCGCGTCACTAACCTCCGCACGTTGGCCGTCGTCGCGGGGTCCAACGTAACAGAGAAGCGTCCAGACGTTAACATGGACATGAAGACGTTGGCGATGTGCACCAACACCGAACCAAAGACCTGCTTCGACACATCAAAGAACCAGATCTTGACGGGCCTTTGCGGTCGTTCCCTCCAGCGCTTGTACACCAATGACAGAAGCGCCAGGCCGCCGAGGGCAGCCTGGACGATGAGGGCAAAGGAGCCGAGCAGGCTGCACTCGCCGTTGCCGCCTCCCTCCTTCATGGCAGCGGTCGCAGTCGCGGCGGCGGCCGATGTGACAGCGGTGGCGACGACGTCGGCCATGGTCTCTGCTGCTGGGTTCGTGAGGGGGATCATGGTTGTTGTTGCAGCGGCAGCGAGGGCGGCGGCGAGGGTTGATGTGGGAAGCGCATCTTGGGCGCCAGTCGCTATTGCGTAGGGCGGCGGGGGGGCCATTGGCCTGGCCGGTCTAGCGATTATGTACGGCTAAGGGAGGCAAAGACGCGGTGTCTTTGTGACCTGGTGACGCCTAGGTCGGGAGGGGGGGCGAGGTGCGGCGTCGGAATGTGGATGACGTTTTGGGAGATCGGGGGTGGGCGCGCGCTCTCTTTCTTCCCGTCTTTCTGGGGTTGACGGTAGTAGTGGTGGTGGTGGTGGTGGTTGGTCGTGTGGGCAGGCGAAACGGTTCTACCTGACTAGCTTCGAGACACGGGCAAATATGTATGCAGGTCGATAGTTGGAGCTCCGACGTGAAGACCGGCGACGGGGTTCAGAAAAGCAAGGAAGAGACAGGTAAACGCGCTTGCAGGGCGTTGAGGGGAGGGGAAAGCAGAATCCGGGGGAGGAGGCTGTTTAAAGAAGAAAGAGGGAGAAACAAGTGTGCGAAGCAAGAAAGAAAAGGGTAAGGCGAGAAACGGTAGGCAGAAGAGATGAGAAAAACGAGGACTACAGGACGCCAAAAAGGTGATGATGGACACAGGATGGGACATGGACGGAGGCTGCTGTCACGAGGCGGAGCCAGAAAGTGACATGCAAGCACGGACAATTAGGCGGTCGAGTTACAAATACACGAACCCGTTCTACCACCGCAGGCAGTTGTTAGGATTGCGGTAGGCAGACCAGGCACCTGGCTAACTGGAACTCTATTCGCCGCTGCCAATGTTCTACCTGTTGGGTGGTCTGGGCATCATCACTTCCTTCCAGCAGCATACCTGGTAGCAACGGCAGAGAAAAACACAGTCGGGTCATCAGCACATCAGCGCACCAGGGCCCTGGGGAAAAAGGACCTTGGGACCCTCCGCCCCCCGTTTGAGCCCCTCTGCCGCCTAGCAGTTGGCTCCAGGTTCTGACACAAGCTTACTTCCGATGCGGCTTAGCGTCCCCGCCTTTAACGGACCAGACCTGCCGCGCGAACATTCGGCCCCAAGCGAGCGCGATTAGGTGTTGGGTGTTATCCGTAGCCCGGTGAGCACAGCCAGCGGACAGCGGACAACGGGACCATTTCCACGGCGCTAACGAAGGCTTGTTGGCCCTCATGGTTAGGAGCTTTTTTGGAGGTTACCTTAATCTGCAGGTGGATCACCGCCTAAGATTTTAGCAGCCGGGGCATATCTTACTGGCAATTGCACCTGGCGGGAATGGAATTGATCAAGGCAAACCGGAGGAAATGGCCAGGACAGCGCCGAAAGGGGGACCCGCGGGCGACGGACGGCGCGCACCAAGGCCGCCGAGCCCCCCCATCCAGGTCCATCTCCAGTCCGCTGTCCACCTATCGACCCCCAACTGATGAAGCGCAGTTGAGGCAGGTTCCTGGCCAATTATCAATATCCGTTCCCATCGTCCCCGTCCCGTCCAATCTCTTCTCCCCATCGCGAACACGAAGGTTTATCTGACAGTCCTGCACTAAAACCAAAAAATTCCAGATTTACGAGGGGCACAGATCTCCGCCTGCTCTCATCGTTTTCCCTAGGAATCGCATTGGCCATATTACTAATGATCCCAACCTAGGTACCTAACCTTGCCCCGTACTAATGGACCACCCCCGTGCCCGTTCGCGACATCGTTACCACACTCGGCTCGCCGCGCCGCGCCGGTGGTGAGTCGATGTCTGCTTCAAATTACCAAATGACTGCAACACTTAGGTAATAAGCAGGTTTTGCCCAAGACCGCGCAAACCGTCACGCATCGCATCGCAAGCCCTCTTACTTGATACTAATTCATTCTTGTTTTTCTTCAAGTCAGACGAGACAAGACATCCCGTCTTTGTCTCACACGACTCACCTATCAATAGGCAAAACCCGCAGCATAATCCCCTTTGTCGTACCCGGCCTCGACCGAACCTTTTGTCAGCCGTCTCTTCATCTCCCCGGGGCGCCGCTGACGAGAGACACACCCATACACTGCCCTTCTCTCTACGTCCCGAAAAAACCGTGTTGCCTCGCCATTCATTACTCACCGTGTCTCAAATCTCGATATGCATGGAAGCTGCATGGAACGTTGACTCGGTGCTACAGGATGTTCGAGGCTTTCGACCAAACCCAATCTTGTTCTTTTGTCATGTGTGTAACCCTTCTAGATCTCACCCGACGGACAAAACCCATTCGGATGCCGGAATGAAGCGATATTGTGGACAATTTCAGAGGTCGGAAGGAGTGGAATGTTTCTTAAATTTGCGCGGCCTGCTCGCTGGCCACTGGATATCAAAAACCCCCGCCGTCTAAAGTGATGTCAAATCTAACAATGGCAAAAATCAAAACTCGCTGCAGGCTCGCTTTTCCTCCTTACGCCATACATCTCGTCGTTTCCGGGCAACTGCGTGTACTTTCCCGTCCACATCTCTTTCTTGTAGCCCAAATTCAAAAGATGAACGAGAAATACCCAAAGGAACTATGCGCCTCATGCAATAACCAGCTTATCCAAAGCAACCCTCGCCATCTCTATAATCTTCAAGCAGTTCCGATTCTCTGGGCTGTCGTCCTTGCCCTCCGGCACCATCAGGTTGTGTTGCGTATGCAGCATCGGGTGCGGATTTCCCGCCGCGACGTGCGCGTCTAGTGCGTCATGCCGGTGGTTCGATCTGTCCTCCATCTCCTTGATAACATCCTTGAGACCCAGGTGGTGATATCCTGTGCCGTTCGTCGTCTCGAAATCGTAGCCGTAAATGTCAACCTTCAGCAGCCCCCGCACCGTGAGCCTCCAGCTGTCGGGGTCCATCTCGCGGTTATCAAACGTCTCGATGACGCCGCAGCCCTTGTCTCTCTTGTTCATCTCCCCCCAGAGGCCGCCGTACTCTGCGAACCGGAAGGTGATCATGCGACTCTCCTTCTTGGCCCGGGCCGTCTCGGCGTCGACGAGCTCGAGGATCTTGGCGTAGGCGTTGGCCGTCGCGGGCAGGATGGTGCCAAGCATCATCATGTTCTGGAAGGACTGCATCGGGGGCGGCTTCGTGATGTCGATACCGCTGCATGCCGGGCAGTTGATCACGTCGTGGGCTGTTCGGGTAGCTTGGCGGGCCATTGCCATGGCAATCTTGACGTCGTTCGAGAGCCTCGACAGGGCGTCGAGGGACAGGAAGATCTGGGAGAGACAGGAACATGTGGTATTGTCGTACGCCTTGACAGTAGTAGCATCAGGGTCATGATGAGTGTCGTGTGTCTGGGCAGAGGTGGATGATTCGGGCGTGTCGTTGGCAACGGTGTTGGATGCGTCTGATGATGAGGCGGCAGGGGACACGCTGGAGACCTTGTCGGGCACTTGCGCCGACAGGAGGTCAGTGAAGCTTTTATTAATATCTTGAGGCAGTCCCTCGTCAGCAGAGTCACTTTCGTCAAAGTTGATGCCACCTAACAGGTCAACACCCCCGACCCCAAACTGGAAGTCTCCAGCCGGGTACCGTGACTCGGTGTAAGCCATCGTGCTGAGGCTCGCCAGCTCGGGCGGCAACGTCGACGGCGGGCCGTCCAGGGGGGATAGCAGGTCGAGGTAGTTGACGTTGAAGTCCTGGGTCAAGAACGCGGAAAAGTCGGTGTCTAGCGTCGGTTGTGTGATGAGCGGCGCTTGCGACTGCTGTGCTTGGTCTTGAGGCTTGATGGAAGAAGGTTGTGCTTCCGGTGACTCTTCGACGTGTCTACGCTTCCTCGGCCGCCCCATCTGCTTCTGCGGCGAGTAGACACATCTCAGGCCCTCTCTCTTACACCGTGAGCAGCCGTCTGGCTCCTTGGTGCAAGCAAGCTTTCGCGATCCTGTCGAGTAATGTTAGTCACCAACCCATAATTCGAGGCGTGATGGAGCTACTCACGACATTCATCACACGCACGATGCTTGACGACACCGTCCGCGGACTTGGACTGACTACTGCTACTTTGGGGCATGACTGATATGACAAGGGTATCAAGGGGACTGAGAGGCTTTTTTGTCGTGATCTGCCTGACAATGTGCGTTGGACGAACTATTCTGATTACTCAGAACTTTCCACACTGTCGGAGTGCGGCGTCCGTGAGGGTTTATATGTGAATGGAGGGAAATGTGTGTAAGGTGACGACGACGTGCGACTGTGACTCTTGGGCGGGACGGGCAGCGTCAACGGCGAGGGCGACCACGATGATGCCCTGGCTAGTAATTCGTGGCTTGCCCTCAGCTGGATCTCGGGGTGTTTCTTTGGTATTTTTGGGCCACGGTATCCACGGGATGGTGGAAGCATGCGGGTGGTGACGCCGAAGGGTGTGATGCAGAAGCAATGTGCACTCGAGCAAGAGAGTGACCGGGGGCGAGCAAGACACGGGTGCAAACACGAGCAAATGCAAGCAGAGGGGAAAGCTTGTCTGCGGCGCGGTCGAGTCGTACCTAAGTGACAAAGTCCCGGTTGATGTCTAAGGTTGGTGGCAGCCACGCAGCACAGCTTACCTTAGCCCAGTCAGGCCGCTCAAGACCACCTAGACCAGGGTTGGTAAGTACGACTAAGACCAACTCAGTCCAGGTACCTGGGAGAAGTACAGCCCCTCTACCTAACCACGTCCTCGACAGAGAGGAGAGCTCTCGTTGACTGGTTGTAGGGAGAAGGATTCCACGCGGCGTAAGCACCACCTCGACCATGCATATACTGGAGCCCAAGGCGAATCCGAAGTACTTTCGCTAGGTCGTTGTTGGAGGTTCAACGTTGGAGCCGTAGGCGGGGTGTGGGCTCCCATCTTCGGTACTTTGAGCCAGGCAACCAGATATCTGCTCATCATTATTCACTCTTGTACACGCATTCATACTATCATCAACATGCACCTAGATACCCAATTCGAATCACGGGCAAACCCTCTTCTTTGAGTAAAGATGCCCGACTGAGCACACGCCGAAGTTTCCAGGCTGTCGGGTCTCAGTTCTGCTCAACCTCGCAGAAGCCACGAAACAGTACTCTCTCTCACGATAGGTGACAGCTACGAGGGCGAGCTAACACCCGATGGACCGCG